ATGTTGCACATACTGTGTGAAGTTGAACAAGCCTACAGTATGTTGAAGATCAATTATGAAGAAGAGACTGTGATGATGATGAAACAATTACATTTTTTTGCATAACATTTTAAAATACAATATAGCGTAAAAAGTGAACCTTAAGCTGAATGCCCTAAAATCAAATCTTCAATCTTGACAAACCTCAAATACCATTTGGAAATGTAAACTAAAAGTAGGTAGTTGTGGCTGCCATCGATGATGCACTTAAGGAAATACAGTGCCCACGCAACAACACCTTAAAGTACAGAAAGGTTGCTAAGTAACATTGTAGCACATTTTCCTTTAGTTTAATATGAAGTAACTTAGAATTGACCATTTAAATTAAAAAAGCAATAATTTGAATGCTTGATCAATAGTTTCATCTATTGTTGAATAACAACTTTGCTCAAAACAAAAAGATAACTTGTAACCACAAAAACACTAGTTTTACTCAATCTAGTTTAAAATAAATCATATGTCATAAGTCATTGTGTGTGTAACTGCATTCACTTTAGCCCTTTCTGTGTCCCAGCTTGACTAGATCCCTGTTTTTTCAGCAGTTTGGTTCATAAGGAAGACCCTGTACAGTTTGGTGGTCAGATGGTCTTAGCATCTGGCTGTGGAGCTTCACAATTGAATGTGGTTCCCATCTGGTGTTCAAGTTCATAAAGCGCAATTAAGTGTTCTTGCACTTAAGGTAAAAAAGCTATTAATTATTGCAAAATCTACACTTTATCCTTGAGTCTTTGATCATATGTTACTCATTACTCACTGTCAAGCCATGGGGAGCAGGCCAGCAATTATGCAGGCAGACTGGCACGTAGGCAGGGAGGTAGACAGAAGAATATCACAGCAGGGAGGTGTTTCAGTCAGCTTCAGATAGACGGGTAAGCGGCGTACAGATTGATGGGACAATGTACAGACAGACGGTACAAAGAACATTGGGAGTGGTGGTGGTAATGGAAATATTGGAGACAGAATGTTTTTGCAAGATGCTAACAAAATCACAAAACACTCTATATCCGCAACACTTGAAGAGAAAGTTGCTCACCCTTTGATGTTTGCATTATTTAACAGTGAGGAAGAACCATTTTGACACACTGCCTTCATCATGGTTTTATCCATGAATGCATATGAAACGCTAACAAAAGCTCTACTTATAGCTGACCTCCTTTTTTCAAAGAAAATAGAAAATCAATTATTTGTGGAAGTACCTTATATGCATGTAAGTGTGTCTGTGTGTTTACATTATATAACATACATTATATAAAATGGAGAACATTGTTTTCTTCGAAGTTACTCAGCTCAGGCTTCAGCAGTGCACAATACCTCTGTCTTACCTTTCCCCTTGCTATCTTTTCCCTCCTCTCTTCTTCCCATTATTCTGTGTATAACCCTTCCTCCATCTCTCAACATTCTCCCTCCCTTTAAAAATGATCTCCTCATTTCCCTCCCTCCCACATCTAGGTCTTCACACTCTTGCGCATGTCATTGTAATTCAAAGATAGGCAGCTGCACACCAGCAGAATATAACACCACCACCAGTCACTTACATCACCAACATGCTAACATGAAGCTGGAAACACACTGCCTTACATGGTCAGAAACAAACAGTTGTTGTGGAGGGAGCAGCTTGGACATTCTGCAGTCAAATAATCATGTAATACTGCATTTCTATACACAATTTAAATGTCTTTCACACAAGACAAATATTGTAACAGATGGAGGAATGACATGCAGTAAAGGTGATCAGCTTGACAATAACAGTGTTGCTTGTTGACGTTGCTTCAGTTTTAAGCCTTTTTGATATTGGACAGTACATGGGACAGGATTGTCGTTTTTTCTTCGGTGTGTGTTTGGAATAATGGTAATCAGTACTTAGGTAATGCGTTTTGGGATCAAATTATGCAATTATTGAATTTTGTCTTTTGTGATCATCAGCATTATTGGTTGTCTCTGGGCTTATGTGCCATGCCAGCTCAAACATTTAACAGCCATAACCGTCAAGGCGGTAGGTGTTTAATCTACAGGACCCAGTGCCCTGCTGGTTTCCATTTTGCCCAGTGTCTGACTAATTAATGGAGAAACTGTGGGAGACAATTTAGTAGGAAAGAAATACCTGCATTACTCTTTTTCCTTAGGTATAGTACAGGTATTTAAGCAGTATGACTGGTGATGGATTACCTGTGTGATAGTTTCCCCCCTCAGCCATTTCATATAACAATACATACACACACATCCTTTTCCCGTATAGTATTTATTTTAATTTTATTTGACAGCTTGAGAGGATCTAGCCAGCACAGATGTCTGCATTGGCATAGATAGAGTAGCGACAATATGGATTGAACCTTTTTTGTCAGGTGATTGAGGGGGCAACATAAATGTTGGCGAAAAATCTATCAGAGAGAAAGATGCAGTCGGGCCACCTGCAGTTCTTTTATGTTTAATGAAATAAAGACTATTCAATACCCAACATTTCTAGAAAGAGTAAGGTCCTTTTGCCTTGGTTGGAAACGCTTTACAGAAATGTTTAACAGGTTTATTAGGACGCACCTGTCCAGGTGACATTGCCAATGCTGTGTAACTTTGTCACTTCAGCGAGGGCTGGAGCTCATTAACACACTGGACTGGTTCCTGTGGAGTTACAGATGTGTACTCAGGTGTTGGCAGGATGTCACGCCAGCCTGCTGTGACAAGGTCGGAGCCCCACTGTTCCCGAGCGCTCTATTGTGTCGGATACAAGTCCCATCTTTATCATTGCACTTGATATGTTGCGTCTGGACACCTTGCTGACTGTGTCAGTCGGGCCACATCAAGCAGCGTGCCAACAGTACCAATAACCTGAGAGCGCTCACCGCCTCAGTGTTGCTGAGATTTATGTGCTGCTAAGTTGATTCCTATTGCTACTTCCAAGAAGGCATCAAAGGGCGAAGACAGCGTAATGTGCTACCCTGTCTTATATTTCATTGTGCCTACCAATCCAGTATCAACCTGTATTCTAGCTTCTAGGAATTTGTATACAAGGAAACCTCTCCTAGCGGTGGCGGACATAAATAATATATTTGTTACCTGGCAATTGTACTACAGGCAAACAACAAGGTAACATCTTTTTAAAAACACAACACTGACTGGGTAGCTCCATTATCTTTGCTGTAGTGAAAAGAATACAAAAGATTTGCACTGGCGGTAACAAGGAACATGTTTAAGCTTAACAATAGGAAATCACAACAATGCAGCGTCTTGCTTCTGCTGGTTACACTTTAACTGAAACTGTACATACACATAGTATTTTTAAGATTCAGATTCTGTTTCATAAAGCAGGCCTTTCACATAGTGAACACTGTTGTGTGATGACAAGCAGAGCATGAGCAGATTGTACAATAAAACATTTATGACCTCCAAAGAGTCAATGACCAAATCCCTCATTATATGATCAACTGTTTTTTAATTAGTGCAGCGACCTGCCGTGTTTTAAGTGCTGTTATTTTGACGCATTTTAACTGAATATACCTCTAGTCCTTAGGTGACCGTCACTGTACTAATGCATTATTACTCTTTGGAGAACAAAAAGAGGAATTAGTTGCAGCATTAATACTGTACATTACAGATTATGAAAAGACAGCATAGCCAGACAGTTTGTGTGCTTTATTGATTTACTGTAGCCTTCAGCATGATGCAATACAGTGGTGACTTGATTCCAGGTCTCCTCTGAGTGACTGGGAATTGATGGAGAGCAGTCAGAGGTTTACTGGTCACTGGTGTCATTGACTGAAGATGGAGGCACACATGCTGGTGACAAATCAATTGTGTATTGATGGTGTGGGTCTAAGAACATTGTGAGACACTTGATGACTTAAAGGAAAAGGATGGTATTATACTATATTTCCCTATTGGCAACCAATCTGATAGAAACAGTCACTTTTACTAGAACGGGTTGCATATTTATGCCAGAACCTCCGAAAATTGGCTGAAGCATCAGGTTTGAATTCTTATATGCTTTCAAAAAATTCTCACTCCGAGCACCAAAGTCCATTCAGGCACAATCAGGACCAATTGTTGTCTTTATTTGTATCCTCATTAAAAACAACTTGAAACACCATGTCAAATAGGACAAACTGCACCTTAGCAAGACCATCATTTGTGAAGATTTGTCTGAAATCCCTTTTACATGAATACATATTGCTTGTGTTGCTGATTCCTCTGTGCCATAGACTTCTTACATATAAAACACAACAATGATGGTCAGCATTACACACTGTATAGTGACATGTCGCTTAATTTATTACCATGAACAGTGGTACTGTTATTTATTGCCCTGGTGCTGAAAACTCACTACAGCACCAATTGTTTCTTCAACCATGGCTGCTTAAGTGACTTTCTCTTAACTTTAGTGTAGTTCATAATGCATGATCTGTTTTAAATATTTACATCTTCAGTAAGAATAAATTAAGGGGTGCCACAGACAGGGTAAGGAAGAAAAAATAGTTTAGGATGATGGATCAATTGACTGTTTTGTTTTGGTCATTTCAAGTATTAGCCAGCCTCTTTCTATGCATGTATTCCACAATAGTGCTATGCTTGCAGGTGATGTAAAGTGCTCACAGACTTATCTTAATCCATTAAATTACAGTGACACAGTAAAAGTTTCTTCTCTGAGCTGAGTGCCGTTCTGAGGCCAGAGGGCAGGAGACATGGAGTGAAATCATTAATGTAAGGTATTAAAAGACAACTGGCAGAGAGAAAGGGATCACTGAGATTGAGGGACTGCATAGGAGAGGTCACTCACTCTGAGAGAATGAGGAAAACTTGAGGTGAGATAGCAGCAACAGCTCAGCCCATCCTCCCTGTGACAGCGCAGCGTTACGTGCTGCCTCTCCGCTTTGTCGTCAGAGCAGCCCCAGCCTCCCGCCCGCGCACAACTCCTCTCCGCTCTGCACCAGAACGGAGCATCCTCCTCTCTCCGCCCTCCTCTCTCTCTCCCTCTCTCTCTCCCTCTCTCTCTCTGTCTCTCCCTCTCTCTTTCTTTCTAGCAGTCGGTGTGTCCTCACAATGAGGTTAGCATCACCAGTAGCAGCAGTAGATAGAGACATCAGAGCCACAGTCACTGCAGCAGCCAGGAGAGGCTGTCCTTCAGCCGTGCACCATCTACTGCTGCAGACACCCCTGCTCTGAGAACGCACCCCTCATTCTTGTGCTCTCTTTCTGTTTCTCTCCCTCCCTCCTCCTCCTCCTCCCTCACCTTCTGTCCTCTTTGAATTCATCTCTCGAATTCACCCCTCTCTCTCTTCTTCTCTCTCTCTGTAGCAGTGATGGGGAAGACCACCATGTAGAGACAGAGAGGCAGTGGAGGTAACAGCAGCAAAGCAAGAATGGGAAGCCACACATGGAGCGGGTCTGGACTGCAGCCGTGGTGAGCCTGAGACCGACAGGACTTGCAACCGGCAACGTTTCCCTTCTCAGGACCTGACCACTGGGGCTGTCCAACACTCACCTGGATGCTCCTCACTTGTGTTCCGTCATCCCCTCCTCTCCTCGTTCTCTGCTGCTCTTTCTCCTCTTCAGTTTCTTCTCTTTGATGGTTTTTGGTGGGAAGATATCTGACAGTCTCTCTGAAAAAGAGAAGCTGCTTATCGATTGATCCCCTCGGATTCCCCCTCCTTTTTTAATCTCTCTACCTGCCACCTTTACCTTAGTGACATTCTAATTTCCCTTTTTTTAGTTTTTGATGCCTGCCTCATACCTATTTTGGATTTTGTTTGGATGAGACTGAGCTCATCTCTCTTTTTGATTGACCTATAAGCAATAACAAACACTTATCTAACTGACTTGATTAGCTGTCATCATGGGGGACATGTCGAACAGCGATTTTTATGCCAAGAACCAAATAAATGAGGGCAACCATGAGGCGGGCTTCGGTTGCTCGGTCATGGAGCTGCGCTCCTTGATGGAAATGCGGGGCCCAGAGGCGGTGGTCAAGCTCCAGGACGACTACACTGGCACAGAGGGGCTGTGCAAACGACTGAAAACCTCACCCACAGAAGGTAAGACCCGTTGCTTGTCTCTGTATGTGCTTTGGTGTGCATGTGAAAGTGTGTGCACTGGTGTGTATCATATGACGGATCTCATGTGGATGTGTTCTGCTGTATGTTGAGCCAGTCTCAAGATTGGTGTTAGATATTAACTGTTGGTTTGTGTGGGGATCCTTATTTATTTGGTGCACCTTCTTCATATGATCAATGGTATAAGCTGAGAAACATTGTAAGGCATCTTAAAAAATGCACAGTGTGACAGTATTATGCATCAAAGTCTCTCTGGACAGTTAAGCACCGCTCTAAGTCTTCTGCCTCCATACAAGTCCCCCCTCCCTGCCACCCACTACATCCTCCCTTGTCATTCTTCCATCCCATCAGCCAATCAGCCAGAGCCTTATTAAGGAGCAGGTTTCTGGGTCTACATGTTAGAGGTTTTGGCCACGTGGGATGTGCTTTGGCGTCTGAAATGATGTACTTAGTGTGAAAGCAGTAATAAATATATAGGAAACATGTAAAGCACCTGTCTCCTATTATTTCACATTGAGTCAAACACATTGAAAATACAGTGGATCTTTATTTCTGCTCTGCAAATGAAAGGTATTTCCCCTTAACGTAGGGTAGTTTAGTTATATTTTAACACACTTGATTAATCCCTTAACATGTATTTTCTGACTTACCCACCTGACCCAGGTAATGATATCCTTATTGTTATTGCAATGCATAGATACTGTTAAATGACCTGACCTTTACTTGATTTACATATTGCATAAATTAATTTTCTGTTGCTTTGTCCCGGGCTGCAGTACAGCAAGCATACACAAACCAGACCTCTCTAATGGATTCATCTGCATATTGAATATTTAGATCCCCGTTATAATCATCCATCGTCCCTGTTGTAGGGATCAATGATTAGTATTCATGTAGTGTCACCTGTGTGACATCAGAGGTAACCTGTAACCTAATAGGTTGATAGCCGGAGAGGATTGTGTTCCCTGGTCTTCTCATCCAATAGAACCACTTCTGGGTCAGTCGGTTGTAATGCCTGCAGCAAGACCACGGCAAAGTACATTTACAAAATCTTCCGTGTCACAAGAGTTGAATAAAGATCGATCGAATTGGGCTGAAAAGAAAAATTATGATGAACATTGTCTCAGATGCCGTGCCTATTGCTAGTCACCATTTGCAACACCATTGTGAAAGAATGCCTGCAGTGATATAGCAATAGAGAAAGGAAACTGAATTGGAAGTAGCAATGAAAATGATCATAACAGACACAATTATAATTTCATTATCCCATTCTCATGTGCATCCTGATTAGATACACAACCATTAAATTGTATTAGTGCGCTTAAAACTAATTCAGGATCACAGCCTGTAGACTTGCAATAAAACTAAAATGAAAGTAATTAAACTTGTATAGAAACATGAATTATTCAAAACGCTGCAATTGCAAATGTGTGTTAGATAATAATTATATGTTGGAATATAGTGGATTCACAATAATTCATTGTGTTTCTGTTGCAGTCCTCTGTGTCGACCAATGAGGCGCTTCCTTTGAATAGTTTAACACGATTTTCAATGGTGGTATTTATCATTCGCTAGATTTTCCATAGTTTGGTTAAGATGTTGCTACTGCAAACTAGCACAATGCTCCTCTTGTCTCCTCCATGATTATAATTATTTATTGTTAAGATAAATACTATTATCGTTCATTGAAACGTTCACTTAGTTGAAACCGAGTAATGGTATCTGGTGTTGCTATTTGCATTCGCGACCCCAGGTGTTCATGCTGAGTGGATCCCCTTGTGGGTGAATGGTTGCTCCACAGAACATATGTTACCTTCGAAATACGATCGTGGTAATAATTATTGAAGGTATTCTGTATTGCTTGCTGTCATCATGTGTGTTGTGTGTAGTGGGTATGTGTCCCAGCGAGCTGAGTTTGATGGTATGAGGCCCTGTACACGGTTGATCGAATAGCCCTTATAGTGTAGCCTATACAAGCCCTCTCTCATGATACTAACATGAAAATCTATAGTCCAATACGCAGCATATATGTGTAATGACTCTGGAAGTACAACTATGCACCCAGTTAAGAGGTTTCACTCTCAATCACATGCATTTAGATCGAATGGGCACCAGGCCACTGCTACACTCGGCCACAGTCAATGAATGGAAATAAAATGAATTATAAACTGCTATAAAGCTCACACGGTGAACATTATGCAAAGAACAACAACATAACGCATGCAATGCCATAGCTATATTTGGGAAACATATCTCGGTTTTTAACAATCTATATGTTTCAGGACGTTAAACAAGCTTCCTTTAACACATTTCTTTGAGCATTATTATGTCAATCAATGATTTTGAAAGGTTTAATGACCCCTATGGATCCATATTTTTCCAAACCCATAGTTTTGCACATGAATTGAGGTTAAACACAAACATCCCCTTGTTCTTTATATCTGCACTCAGCGTGTGGTTACCTGTGTGTTGCCTTGTAGGTGACTGTGGGGTGAAGAAGCTAGGGTTTCCCTCAGGCATCAAGCGGGTGAACGTCACTCAGAGGCCAGATGTCAGGCGATTGCTTAGTTTACAAGAAAAGGCCTGCTTCTCCCGAGAAAGAAGAAAAAGTACTCCCCCTTGAACTATTTCATTTACTGTAGACATTCAAGAGCTGCAGCACAACGGAGCCGTCCTCCAGGGTTGGGAGGATGAAGAGGTGCTTAGGGCATCGATGGACTTTGATGTGGTGAGAAAGGGAGGGCAGGGGGTTCTGAGCGAAACCTGTACGGGGTCTGAGAAGAAAATACGTGTGGAGCCACATTATATACAAGCAGTCTGTATATCTCACTGAAAAACTGTGTAAAGCCTTTAAAATAGATATATCACATTTGGGTAATCCATAATTTGAAAAACATGCATCACCAATAGTTTGCTCTAAGCTTAAAGGTAGGGGAGGTAAGTTTGAGAAACCGGCTCGAGATACACTTTTTGTTATATTCCATGGAATGCTCTTAACATCGCGATAGCAATGAATATCTTAAAGGACACCTATCATGCTATATTTAAATGATATATTGTAGGGCCATACCTATATAAGGTATATTTATACGTTTCTGTTTTCAAAATACCAAACAGATCATGCATTTTAGCCATGCCTCATTTCGCTCTATGTGCTGTTTGCTGTCTACGGGGCTGATTCTGTAAGCTGCAGCTGACCACGCCCCCCTGCAGGAGAGGGGAGCCGTGCTCTGATCAAGTCAAGAGGGGGAGAAAAAAAGATCTCCGTCCTCAGTGTTTTATTATATTATTATAGGCCTATAGAGTCGTTATTCATTTGTTTTAAAGCTCAATAAATAACAAAAAAGACCTTTGGCCGGCACTTTTCTAATTTTGTCCGGAAGATTTGAACTTTAATGGACATCTTGACCGGCGAAAGAAACTGAAACTGAAACTCTGCCGCACGGTCCCCTCGTTCCTTGAAAGAGGCGGAGAGGTGGGCCTAACCGGAGAGAATTACAGTGCTTGCCTCGACGGGGAGGGATTGCATTGAATTAAAGCAGCGGGAGCAAACGCTTGCCTCGGGGAGGGAGAAAAAAAGCCACAGCGGAGAATAAACAGAAGGGTAACCATGGTAACTATGGGCGGGAAGTCTTCTTCGCTGCTTTTGTGGCAGACTACAGCGCCACTACCAGGCCTGGCATATGTACTACAGCGTCTCCAGCGCTTTCGAGCGGCAATGGCCGGCCGTGGCCCAACCCCACATTCCCCTGATGGGTGGAGAGTTGGCCCAATAGCCGTAGCGCCACCGTCCTGACGTCAGTAAAGTGTTCAAATCTGGATCAGTTTTTATCAGATCCGTTGCAGCCCCTTTTTTAGAGATTTGAGTATGGAGGAAAATAGAGAGGGTTGTGTTTTCTGACACTTGGTGAGTTCCCTGGAACACCGGGGACACATATTCATGTATAAAAGACGTACAAAAGTGCATTTTGCATGATAGGTCCCCTTTAAGTGCTTTGACAAAAAATCCATAAAAAAATGTCATCTGTGGAAGCCGTAATACTGTAAAAAGTACGACCAATCATTTTAGCCGGCCCGGCTAAAATAACTGGATGGCCTACCTGCCTGTCAGCCTTCCATCTGTGCACAAACTTATCTCGTGCCCTCATTAGTCATGTGCGCGTTCGTGTGTGTTGGAGGAGGGGCTCTGTAAGGAAGTGGCAGATTTTCTCCGGTTGTGTATTTTCTAATTCTAGCGATCTCGAGCCGGTTTCTCAAACTTACCTACCCCACCTTTAATATGATACAAATCAGATATTGTATTTTGTGGCTAAAGTACACTAAGCCTAATAGTATTATAACTTAAGCCTAATAGTATTGTAATCTAAAGCAGAACACCCACCAGCATGCCTACACATTCGGCCTGATATCTGCCATTGTCACCTTTTTTATAATTTCAAGTTTGCTATAAACATTCAGTTTGATTTTAAACAAAGTCACACAATGTATTTTTTTACATCAGCAGCTTTTTGGTTAGATTCTTACACATATCACAAGTGCAGCAAAACTATATGTAGAATGTAATGATCTTCAACCTAATATAAGAATGTTTACCTTACATGTAATCTGTATCAAGACTTAAATAGCAATTGTTGTCCATGCCAGGTTAATGATATAGACACCAACAGCTTATGTCTCCCATTCACCTTTGTTATCCTCTTCCACACCCTCCAACAGGCTCCTAAAATAGAAGTCCCTTATTTGTGTCTGTAGACAATCGCAGGTTTGTCTGGCTTTTCGATGTGCATGAGACTCCCACCGTTTAATAATTACAGAAGAAGAAACAACAACTGTGTAAGAAATATCTAGACAATACAATGTTTAAACAACTGAAACTTTCATGGTGCTTTTTTGGACTCTCATGTGGCTAATGGCACAAAGGATGGAAATGTTAAACTTCATAGAAGCCAATACTGGATGTACCCTTCTCCATAGCAACAGCA